GATAGATAGATAGATAGATAGATAGATAGATAGATAGATAGATAGATAGATATCTACAAACCTACCTATCTGTCTATTTCTATATCTCTATCTATTTAATCTAGACAGAAACAGAGAGACACAGAGAGAAAAGGAAAGGTTCATTATGTAAGTTCTGTTACTTTAGAGAACCAAGACTAATACAGATTTTCTTACCAGAAGTGGTTCTAAAGCAACAGAAATATAAGAAAGCATTTAACTTATTTTTAATTTTACAAGAATTCAGAGCTGAGAGACTGAATTTTTAAAGAGACTTTAAGTTTTAAACGATATTTTGAATTTTGATGGAGACTGAGTTTTGAAGTGTTTGAGTTTGTAAGGACTGTGGGACTTAAGTTTGTAAAATATTTTATTGATATCAACGTGCGTTCTTGAGGGTGAACAAAAAAAGAAAGGCTTATCAGTATATTTTTGTGTGCCAAGCTGACAGAGTCAATTGTGTTGGAAAGCTTTATATCAACTTGACACAAGCTAAAATACCATCTGAAAAGGGAGGACCTCAATTAAGAAAATGACTATATATAGGCAATAGACAAGTCAGTAGGGCCCTTTCTTAATTAGTGATGGAAGAGAGCAGAGTTGGTTGTGGGGAGGTCATATGTGGGCTCATAGTCCTGTGTTCTATAAGAAAGAAGGCTGAACAAGCCATGATGAGCAAGCCAGTAGGCAGTTTTCATCCATAGCCTCTGCATCAGTTCCAATCCCCAGGTTCCTGCCATACTTGTGTTCCTCTCCAGACTTCCTTTGATAAAGAACAGTAATATGGAAGTGTGAGACAAAGAAACTATTTACTCCCCAAGTTGCTTTTGTTTAGAGTTGGCCATGGTGTTTTATTACAGCAATATTAACTCTAACTAGGACAATATTCAAGTGGCTAAAGTTGCTTGTCAGTTGTTTTGTAGAAATTGAACTAGAAACTCGAATGCATGTAACACTATACATTTTTTTTAAAAATCCCTTCCCAGTTACTTTTGCAGAATTTTGTTTTCAAATAAAATTTTCAGTTTTAATTTCAAAAGCTTGCACAAGTTTCTTATCTTCATGTATCTATTAATTACACTTTTGTGATTGGTAAGCAGGGCATACCAGAAAAATGCTGTGTGATATTATTTATAACTGTGTTTTGTCACCTTTATGAATTTTCTGATGTATTCTAAGATTTGAGTACTTGGTAAAAATTTGTCACTGTTTTTACATGCATAAATGTTCTCTCCAGTATGAATGTTCTGATGTACACTAAGATATGTGCCCCTAGTAACGGATTTTTCACATTCCTTACAACTGTAAGGTCTCTCGACAATATCAACTTTCTGGTGTATTCTAAAATGTATTACTACTAAATGATTTCTGTCACTCCACATGTTTGCAAGTTTTCTCTCCAATATGAATTTTCTGATGTGCTGTAAAAATTGAGCCCCTAGTAAAAGACTTGGCAAACTGAAAAAAATTAACTGAAACAATTATCCACACTGAAATGTGGAATATGGACAGGGCTTGGAGCCAAAGGTTGTGCTATGCTCCCAGATTTAAAGCAAGCTTCAACAAGGTTCTAAGGTATCCTTTTTTAAATAAGTGAATTCATATCCCAGTTTTCTATGTGCCTCCATGCCTAAAAACCATTTTACTGTGTTGTATTTACCCTTTCCACATGGAAAAAGTTGAGAAAACAAAAAAACTTAGTAATGTAAAAAAAAAAAAAAGTTTGTTGTATGCAGCAAAATGGTGGATCCTGTTGGCATATTCAGTCTGATAGTGTGTGTCTTTTCAATGGGGAATAGAGTCTGTTGATGTTCAGAGATATTAAAGACCAATGGTTGCTAGGTCCTTTTATTTTTGTTGTTGGGGGTGATATTATGTATGTGTTGTTGTCTTCTTTTGGGATTGTTGTTAGATGATTAATTTCTTGTTTTACCTTGGGTGTAGTTAGTTACCCTCCTAGTACTGGAGTTTTGCTTCTACTGTCCTCTATAGGACTGGATTAGTAGAAAGATACTGCTTAAATTGGTATTTGTTATGAAATATCCTGGTTTCTTTGACTATGGTGATTAGGAGTTTTGCTGGATATAATAGCCAGGGCTGTCATCTGTGGTTGCTTAGGGTTGGACATCTGTCCAAGATCTTCTAGCTTTGAGCATCACTTTTGAGAAGTCAGGTGCAATTCTGATAGGTCTGCATTTATATCTTACTTGGTCTTTTGGCCTTTCAGCTCTTAATATTCATTCTTTATCCTGTACATTTAGTACTTTTTTTTTTTTACTCTTTAACATGTTTGTTTAATTTTTTCTTGGCATGTATGAAGCACGTGTGAATATGTATGTACATAGCACATATCTGGAGGCTAGAGGATAATCTCTTTTTTTAATAATTTATTTTTTCTCAAATCGTAATTCATTCACACAGGGGTTATAAACACAGAAAGGCAGGATGTGGGGAAGGGAATGACAATGGAGTGTGGGTGTTCAGGGGGAATACAGATATCTTCAGAACCGGGTATCGGCTGGGTGAAGGTTCAGGGGAAAAGTCACTATGACTCTGCCTATGACTCGCTTGTCCTTATCTAAGTTGGTATTGTCTGCCAAGGCTACCTATTTACAAGGTCTATGACTACTCAGGTTTGTAAATTTCCACAAAAGCTGCCTGATTACATTAGCTTATAGCCATCTGTTTCAATGTTTTTCCACTGAGACCCAAGACTTGGTGTTAGTATACATGTATGACAGTCCTATTGCTAATTTTAGGCCTATGGCTGATTTTAGGCTAGTACTTTTTTATTATATGGCAAGAAAATGTCCTTTTCTGGTTCAATCTATTTGTTGTTTTGTAGGCTCCTTTTCTGTATATGGCCATCTCTTTCTTTGGGTTAGGGAAGTTTTTTCTATCATTTGGCTGAAGATCTCTTCTGGCACTTTGACCTTGGAATCGTCATCCTCTTCTATTCTTATTATTCTTAGTTTGGACTTTCCATTGTATACCAAATTTCCAAGATGTTTTGGGATAGGAACTTTTTACCCTTTGTACTTTGTTTGACCAATGTGTCAGTATCTTCTATGGTATCTTCTATGCCTTAAAATCTCTCTTCCACCTCTTGTGTTGTTGGTGATGATTGCATCTCTTTTCCAGGTTTTTCATGTCCAAAGTTATTTTCATTTGTAATTTTTTTATTGTTTCTATTTCTATTTTTAGGTCTGGGCTACTTTGTACAATTTTTTCACCTGTTTGATTATGGTTTTCTGCATTTCTTTAAGGGATTTATTTGTTTCCTCTTTAAGGGCTTCTACCTGTTTGCCTGTGTTATTTTGTATTTCATGAAAGGAGTTATTTACATCATCCTTAAAGGCCTACATCATCTTTATGAGATGGGATTTTAAGTTTGAACCTTGTTCTTCCAGTGTGTTAGAGGATCCAGGGTGTGCTGTGGTAGGAGAACCGGGTTCTAATGGTACCAAATTACATTTTTTTCTGTTGCTAGGTTTCTTGGGCTTGTCTTTTACCATCTGCTTCTCTCTGGTGTCAACTTGCCTGAATGACTCAAACTGAAACAGGCCTCCTTGGAGGCAGGTATAGCTGTGTGATCTGGGATACAGTAAACCTCATGTGAGGCAGGCTGTTCTGTCTCTGGTTAGGGCAGACCTCCAGTGTCCTTGGTTAGAGCAGACTTCCTATGTTCCTGTATCCTTGTGTCCTTGGTTAGTGCAGACCTCCTGGAAGACAGCTTGCTTGGTTTGGGGTCGAAGGACAGTCACAGCAATGTGTGTTCCTGGTTATAGCAGACCTCCTGGGGATCCAGGCAAGCTGTTTTCCTGGTCATGGCAGGCATCCTGGGAGACAGATAGTCTCTGGTGTTCTGGAAAGGGAGCGAGCTTGCTGAACTGCCATAGGTTCAGGTGGAGGTGCAGACAAGAAGTGGGATGATGTTCAGTCAGAGAAAGATAGATCCCACTTCTGCTGGATTCTGTAAGGAGCAGGGATCTCCCCTATGTTCCTGGTTATGGCACACATCCAAGGCAACAAGTGGGCTGTGGGATCCAGGAGGGGTGAAGACTATAGATAAGCCATGGTTTCAGGTGGAGCTGCAGACCACAAGGGCAATCCTCCCACTCTAATGAGTATCCCCCACATTTTATCATACCCTGTGAGGGCACCAATGTTCTAATCACATTTTAATCCTGCAACTTCTCATTCTGTCTAGTTTGCTGAGAGTCTAATCACTAAGTCTGGAGAGCTGCAGATTCCACCAAGTCTGATCTGAATTTGTATGACTTCTACAACTTTTACAAGCCAGACACATTTCAGAAGACAAGAATCCTAAGATATTCACAGATATCATTTTTACTTGTTCTGGAAACAAACACAGAATGTTTGTACACATACATATAATTCTCTGACCTTCTCTTGACAACAGTCCAAGTGATCAAGATAGAGTTGTCTCAGCAACAAATCGGAAAGTTTTTAGCTCAACTACATCATCTACTCCACCATGAGTACTCAATCCACCATTAATAATTTTGGACTGCTCCCCAGGATTTGCCATATAACAGCTCAAAATGTTCCCTACTTCTCTTCTTTGCCAATGGTAGGCATTAACAGCTGTCTCTCTTTCATCCACAGAAAGAAGAAAAGGATGAGAAAGCCATGAATGACATGATAAAGAACCTTGACACAAAGGAAGACAATGTGCTGGACTTCTCTGAATATGTAGATCTGATAGGAAATATATTGAAAACACTGCATGAGAAGAGCCACAAAAATGCATCCTCAAGTGTCCATGGCCAGGGTTCCAGCAATGGACCAAACCTCTGAGGGGATGACCATGGCAGCTATCTCAGCAGCTAATCAAAAGACCAAGTTACTTCTACCTGGCCAGCATATGGGAAATACTGTGTAAAGCCTCATTGTTTGTAAAAAACAAACAATTGTTCTCTAGCAGTGAGAACAATGGACTGTGAGTAAGCCTGCCAGATGAGGAACAATAAAGTGTGTCTCCATTCCAGTGCCTTCAAGGTGTGTCGGCTTCCTAGACTTGTCCTTCACAGTGGCATGAGCAGTAAATACAGCTGCTCTTCCTTGCATCTTAAGATCCCAATTAATCATAGTGATATGATCATCAGCAACTTATATGTCTGCTTTGACAGACAAGATTCACATGTTCCCATAGCCCCATTTTGTACATGTGCCTACAGTTTGAGTGGGAATACTCATGTTTAGCCTATCAATTTGACCCTTGTCACTGAAAAACCAACAGCAGCTGGTCCCATCAACATGACAGCCATTTCCAACCTAGACCCAACCCCTCGTCATTGATCACTGCCCACAAATTCTCCTAAAATAATACTATTTCTCTAAAGTTTTGCTGAAATGGTCCAAGTTCATGCTCTATATGGAAAAGAATATTTGAACTCTAGCAGTGAGAACAATGGACTGTGAGTGACTACAAACGTGTATGAATAATATTGCCTTTCTGTGTGATCTTACAATAAGTCACTACACTAGAATATGTACTCTAAGCCAATGCTAACTGGCCTAGGAACTCTAGAGATAGTCTTCTCTCTCCACTTCCCATAATGCCTAATAATTAAGGAGAGTACAGGTAAAAGTCACCATATTTTCCTCTGTGTATTTTACTCTGAGAAAAGAACACTATTCACTAGACTTTGAGGGCAAACACTTCACCCACCTGGCTATCTTGCACACTCACAATCTTAATTGTCTACTTTTAAAAGAACATCACAGAACAGAAAGAAACTAATCCAAAACACACTCTAACTAGACAATGGAGAACATGAGAAAGGTCAATATCAGTTCTGAAGCAATAGAAAAATGGAAAAAGCACAAGTGGGAAAAGATTTCTAGAAAAATAGTGATGACCATAAGTCCAAAGGAAAAGAGAATTCCTAGAAAACTGAGAGAAACAGAGACAAGGACTGCAGATGTGAACACAATGAAAATGGTTTTACTGACTAAAACGGTGCAGGTTATGGTGTCTAAAATGGCAATATTAGGCTGTGGTATATTACTATGATTTTTAAGAAGAGATACAGAAATTTGAACAGAGGGATATAGATATAACATAAGAAAAGGAGATTGAAAGACTAAGAATTTACTCCCTAAGAGGAAAAAAAACTGAGCAATATAAAGAATGGCCAAATAATAATTCAAAGAAGAGTTATGAAGTAAAAGTATGTGCATATTGCAAAATGGTTGTTGTTTTTCCCCAGGACCTTGGACTAGGACAGGAAAGAATGATGTATTCTTACGATTATAACATAAATTTTTAATAAGCCAGATTGAAGAAAAGTGAAGTCTCTTAAAGCAGAAAATTCATAGCCTCAACATAGTGGGAGATGATCTACAAAACATGTATGACAGTCTAAGACAGTGGGGGGAGAGAGAGAGAGACAGAGAAAGAGAGAGAGAGAGAGACAGAGAGAGACAGAGACAGAGAGAGACAGGGAGAAACAGAGCAAGAGAGAGACAGGGAGAGAGAGACAGAGAGAGAGACAGAGATAGAGAGACAGAGAGAGACAGAGACAGAGAGAGACAGGGAGAGACAGGGAGAGACAGAGAGAGACAGGGAGAGACAGGGAGAGACAGAGACAGAGAGAGAGAGAGAGAGAGAGAGAGAGATCAATAAAATGAAGGAAAGAATCTCAGACTACAGTACATATGCTGTGCCTACAAAGCCACAGCACAAATAACTTAAGAATATAGTCATGTAGGCAACAAAGGTAAGGAACCTATTGGCAGCCTACATATATTCACTATACCCGGGTCAAAACACAGCCACTTATGGCCAGACTGTAATGCAGTTATTTATGGAAAGCCCCCAGCTACTCAACTTGACCAATTCAGTATGTTCCAGGATATGAAACTCAATATTTAGAATTCCACATTGTAACTTCAATCTTTTAAAACTTCATTTTTTATGTGATTTCACCTTCTGCCTACATGTGTATCTGTATGAGGGTGTCAAATCCCCTGTAACTGGAGTTACAGACAGTTGTGAACTACCATGTGGGAGCTGAGAATTGAACTCAGGACCTTTGAAAGAGCAGCCATTGCCCTTAACAGCTGAGCAATCTGTCTAGATCCTTAAACCTTATTTTTAGTGATGGTTCTTAAACATTTCAACCTCCCTGGTCACTAGGAAGAGAAAACAAAGAGGATTATTGACATCCAATGCACATGACCACTTATTCAGGGGCCTGACATGAAGTTGTCTTGGCAAGGTGACCACTTTGCCAAAGGAAGAAATAGTGCAATCACTTAATTTTGCAAGAACAGAATACAAAATCACAGGGGAAAAGAGTTTTCTCAAGGCAAAAGAACTGATTTTCAAAGGGCTACTAGGCTGCAATCTGTACCCATAGTGAAGAGGTACATTAGGTCATGAGTATCTAATCCTTTGGAGATAGAAATAGAAAGTGGAGCAAGAAGTCTGAAATATAATTGCATCCTACCATGTACTATGGCTAAACCAGTTTTCAAAGGCAACTAATTATTAGCTATACAGAGAATAAATCTCAGGGATATCTTCATTATGTAGACATAGAAAAAGAAAAGTCCACATCTGTCCTGGGATTAGGAAATGAAGACTGCTTTGTTTCCATATGTATTCTGTTTCACTTTCTTATTGATTGATTGATTGATTGATTGACTGATCGATTGATTGATCAATCGATCAATCAAATCATACTCTTAAAGAAATATTTTAGTCATTTTCATCCCAAATATTGAAGCTCCCTCCCAATTGCCCCTTCCACAGTAACTCACCCCATCACCCCTTGCCTTTGCCTCTGAGAATGTGGCCCATAGTGGGCATCCTACTTCTCTGGGGCATCAAGTCTCTATTACTGGAGTCATACAAAGCAGTCAGTCCTCTGCTACATATGTGTCAGAGCCTTGGAGCAGCTAAGGCATTCTCTTTTGTTGGTGGCTGAATCACTGGGAGCTTCCTGTGATCCAGGTTACTTGGCACTAATGGTCCTTCATTGGGGATGACATCCCTTTCAGTTCTTTCCCTCTTTACTGTAACTCTTCCATAGTAGGCCGTGACCTCACTCCAAAGACTGCCTCTAAATAGCTGATTCTGCCTCAGTAAGCTGCTGGCATTGCCACTCAGAGGATAGCCATGCTAGGCTTCTGTCCTAAATGTCCTTTTGGGTCTTGGTTACCTCACCTAGGATGAGGGAAAAATACTACCAAATTACTACATGGCTATGGCAATATTTCAATTAAACTCATTAATTTACATAAGTATATAATTATTTTTGTACAAAATATATAATATCTATATTTATATACTAAGTAAAGTATATAAAGTATGCATTTTTAAGTAAATATATAATATATAATATTTAAATAATATATAAATATATGTAATATAAAATTTCAAATAAGACTTATGTATTTCCTCTGTATTCTGGGTCTTTTCATTTTAAAAAGCACAAGCCCCAGTAGGGAGTGGAAATTTTTATATTACACTGTGTATGCGTGTGTGTGTGTGTGTGTGTGTGTGTGTCTGTGTGTCTGTGTGTCTGTGTGTCTGTGTCTGTGTTTTTGTGTGTTTCTGGTGATAGTGGTGTATATACCACCTCAAACATGTAAGATTCAGAGTATAATTAACAGGAGTACATTATACCACTTGGGTACTAGAGACCAATTTCAAGTTACCAGGCTTAATCATAAGACATCTGCTTGTCCTTTTAGAAGAATTTTAAAGTGCGATGATTACAGGTGCTGGAAACATGTCTCTCATTTAGGTGCAAGAAATGTATTTGTTGGGAAATGCTCTTAGAAAAGAATAAGAGTATCAGAATGACATTCCTCGATCATTCTACAGCTATGTAAACTTGCCACTGTCTCCTGATCATCAGATTGTTCAGCTACAAGGAAAGACAATGATCATCTAGGAAGACCCAAAACCAAACCACAGCCCATTGTAAAGTCACATGCCAATCTCCCACAAGCTTAACAACATGAATCAGAACCAGAAAACACAGAACTATAAGGGATAGAGTGAGGAAAGCAAAGTAAGTTTGGTACCCATGCACATTTTCCATGGCCTCAAGTGTAAATCTTTATAAGTAAAACTAGAGTCCTTAATACTTTAGAAACAATTATTGAAATAAATTTCAGTGACAGTGGACTGTCTTGAAATCAGACCTCTAGCTACAAAAAAAAAAAAAAAAAAAAAAAAACAGGAAGTTAACCTCAACAGTACCAAACATAATAGCCTGAAGCTGGAAACAACCCACATGTCCCTCAGGGGAACAATGGATACAGAAAATGTGGTACATTTACACAATGGAGTACTATTCAGCTACTAAAAACAATGACTTCTAAATGAATAACAAAAGTAGCTGTCTTAACTTCTTGTGTCAAAGCAATTGCAGAAGCAGTGGTGCTAGAAATTAATGTAATTAAAGCTATTATACCAGCAATAATCAAGCCCAATACCCTCTTGCTTCTGCTTAAAGGCTGATTCATTTCCTCAAGTACTTGCAAGCTATTTTTAGAATACCAAGGTTCTGTTGATAAACATCCTTAACTGACATGCTGGATTTCAAAACACAAGCACAATTAGGTGTACAATCAATGCAACTTGCATTAAATACTATAGAAGTAACAAAAGTGTTTTTAACTTGACAATTAATCGAGCCTTAACACATATGTTAACACCTGTTTGAAATCCAGATCCTGCCCCAACTTTATCTCTTGCTAACATAACACCATAGAGAACTGCAGCAAATTCTACAAATGTGCTGGATATACAGGAGGATTTAGATAGGCATTTGGAATAA